GCTTAGGAACAGTGTCCAGGTCCTGAGTTCAAGACCCAGAACTGCCCCCCTCCAAAAAAAGATAATTAGTAGGATAAAAGAAATACGTTTCCTGTACACTATGAAAATTAAAAATAATTTATCTTCTTTTAATAAAGACAGCATCTAGACAGTCTCTTTCTACCTTGCTTTCCCTTCCTAATAACAGTGCTGTTCGTTATATGGAATTTTCTTAAATCACTCTAAGAATGCTGGTTCTCCAATGACAGAGCAGCATCTAGCCACAGAGGAAACAGCATGTGGCCAAAGGACACAGTCATGAATCACAAGTGATTCATGCCCATAATCCTAGCTAGTCAGAAGGCACCTCTGTTCTCAGGCACCCTGGGAAGAAAAGTTAGTAAGACCCTTACTTCAACTAATCACAGGAAAAGCCAGAAATAGTGCTATGGCTCAAGTGGTAGAGTGCTAGCCTTGAGCAAAAGAAGCCCAGGGACAGTGCCCAGGCCCTGAGTTCAAGCCGCAGGTTAGGCAAAAAAAAAGTGGATCGTGCAGCCAATGACAAGGAAAATTGTAACCAGTGACAAAGCAGGAGGCAACCAATGACAATCAGGATGCAGTCAACGCAGAGATGTGATTACGCGATGACCCATATTCTTCCATCCTGTGATCTCCATGACTCTACTCTGTGACAAGCATAGCACAATGGAGATCAGTGTTCTGATTTAGACAACAAAGGAAACCTTCCAAGATAGGGCCGTGGAGAGAGTAAGTCCCTGCAGGTCCCATCGTCCATCACCACTGGACTTTCTGGAGAAGTGTCATGAGGAAAAGGGTGCTGTTCAGTCTGGAGCCATAGGATATTGGGTATTCTATTCTATTCTATTTTTTGGTCAGAGAACAGGACTGGAATTCAGTATCTGGCGCTTTCGCACATTATCTGATGCTCCACAAGTCCCCTATCCTGCCCCTGGACACTCAACCTAGTTATACTCCCCCGGTTATACTTCCTGTTCACGGTCGCTATACACAGTTGGCTCTCCTGATAGTGTGTATTGATTGTAGTTTAGACCTTAATATTTACTGTTTGTGTGTGTTTAGCCAATTTGCATCTTTGGAGGGAAATCCATTTGATTATCATATGTGAGCTTTACATTTCCTTACTGTTTTCTATTTTACTTGACACTGACAGTGTTCTTACCATGTTTTGATAGCAGGGAAATTCTGTTTTCATCACCTGAGTTCTCAAGAGTCTACTCTCTGTTATGAAATTGTTGGAGGAGCCTCTTCATTAAGGGTTTGAGGTTTTTATTTGAGTTTTCTTTGTCGTTGTGCTGGTCCTGGGCTGGAAGGGAAAACCAAGTTTGTGTGCCGGAGCTTTTGCACATGACCAATATAATAATTTTTTAATATTATTTTATTATAAAGATGTTGTAACAGGGGTTATGGTTAAGTGAGTAAGGTAATGAATAAATTTCTTGCTGAGCATTATTTTAATAATTATTTTAAATTATAGTCACTTAAAAATAAAATAAACAGGCTGGGAAGGTGGCTCAGTGGTAGAGCGCTTGCTTTGCATGCCTGAGGCCCTGGGTTCGATTCCTCAGCACCACATAAGCAAAAAGAAAAAAGCCGGAAGTGGCGCTGTGGCTCAAGTGGTAGAGCACTAGCCTTGAGCTGAAGAGCTGAGGGACAGCGCCCAGGCCCAGAGTTCAGGCCCCACGACCGGACCCCCCCCCCCAAAAAAAATAAAATAAACAGGCTGGGAATGTGGCTTAGTGATAGAGTGCTTGCCTGGCATGCTTGAAGCCCTGGGTTTCATTCCTCAGTACCACATACACAGAAAAAGCTGCAAGTGGCACTGTGGCTCAAGTAGTACAGCTCTAGCCTTGGGCATACAGAGGCTTGGGGACAGTGCCCCAGCACTGAGTTCAAGACCTAGGACAGGCAAAAAATTTTAGAATAATAAAATAGTCTTTCCCATAGTAAAAACCAAAGCCAGACACATTCATAACTGAAGTAAAAACCAAAGCCAGACACATTCATAACTGAAGACCGTCGAAGCTTTCAGAAGGAACAAACACCAATGCTTTTCAAACTCCAAAGGAGAGGACCTCCACAAGTATGTTATGATACAAAGGGGAAGAAAGATGACATTGATCAAGTGTCATCATATTCTTATACTGCTTTGTGGAAAGGCAACTCCACTGTACAACTACTTAAAGATTAAAAAATAAAACTAAATAAATAAACCAAATATGTACAAATCAACAATATTTCACATAAAGAGATAAGACTGATTGCCTCTCCAGTGGGGACATCAGATTGACGTCCTGTGAACAAGGCCATCCAGACAGCAAGTGATACTGATTGACAGCCACTGGGAGAAGCCTCATTACCCTGATATGGTACATAGTCGAGGCTGGACACAGGCAGCCTATCCACAATGCCAGACTGCCTCCAGGAAGCTGTGCCGCGTGAATGAGCATTGCAAAACTCTCAGCCTTGTGAAGAGCATGGGGTAGGAAGAAGTAAGAAGACTTCATCATCCTCTTACCCCAACCTTACAACATTGCCTGCTATACATGTTGAGATTTGAAACTGGGTTGCAATAATGTTTCCTGAATGGAAAGTATAAACTTCAATGTTTTCTAGTTTGACTTCATCTGCAGTAACCCAGGAAAGGGGTAAACTTTTTTTTTATTTATAAGGTATTGATGGAGCTACAGATGTGATTTATGTATGTATGTATGTATGTGTATATGTTTATTTCATTATAAGTTGCCTGTCTTGTGGCTTGAATCAGGGCCTGGGCACTGTCCCTGAGTTTTTGTGCTCAAGGCTAGGACTCTATTACATAAGCCACAGCTCCACTTCCAGCTTCTTTGGTAATTTATGAGAGATAAGAGTGTCACAGACATTTGAACTCTGTTGGCTTCAGATCATGATCCTCATGTCTCAGCTTCCCGAGTACTTAGGATATAGGAGAGAGCCACTGATGCCAACTTACAGATGTTTTTTTTTCTTTTCTTTTTTCTTTTTTGTCAGTCGTGGAGCTTGAACTCTGGGCCTGGGCACTGTCTCTAAGCTCCTCCGCTCAAAGCAAGCACTCTACCACTTGAGCCACAGCACCACTTCCAGTGTCCTGGTAGTTAATCGGAGATAGGAGTCTCACAAACTTTCCTGCCCAGACTGGCTTTAAACCGTGATCCTCAGATCTCAGCCTCCTGAGTAGCTAGGATTACAGGTGTAAGCCACTGGTGACCTGCTCAGATTTTTTCTTATAGCTTATCAATTCTGTGAAACGACAGATGTTAGAATTGCGCTCTTCCCAGTTTTTATCATTTTAATTTTCAGTATTATTTTGTATTTTTATTATAAAGCTAATATACAGGGTTACTATTTCATAACTCAAAAAATGAGGATAAATATCTGTCTGTTGTAAGGCTTTCATTCAGGGTACACATGCTGTCTCTGAGATTTTAAGTTCCAGGCTGCGCTCTGCTTCTTAGAGCCACAGTGCATCTTCCACAGTACATTTCTTTTTGGGTCATGTCAACCCTACCTGTGCCTTTCCCAGTTTTTCCATCCTGTCCTACCCACAAGTTATGTAGTTCCTTCACCATATGATGTCTTCTGAGTACCACTGATGCATTCGTTCACCCTTTAACTGTCATAATGACCACCAGACTCTCCAAACAGCAAGTGACTTTATTCCTCCAACCTCAATGGAAAAATTTCAGTACCAACAGATAAAATGCTAGGGAAATCATAGATTTTTTTAACATGATAATGATAACAAGATCTCTGCATGATCAAAACATTCATCGTTCACATGTAGTGAATGTATTGCATGGTAGATTTCCTAGGTCTCTTGCTATATATTGCTCACTTCCAGTGATCACTGCATAGAGGAATTAGGTGAGCTGAAGCCTACTTTGAATCTTAGTCTCCTGTTCCATTGCCCCAGTGTTTTATCATAGTGCAAGAGTGGTTTGTGTAGATTTTTCTGTCATTTCCCTCCATAAATACCCTGGCATTTCATCTCTGGAGTCACATGATAATGACTGCATTTCATATCAAGGTATGCTAAAATAGAACCATGGTCAGCACAATGCTTCATTGAGTTTTCAGGGAGTGTGTGAAACCATGTTCACATCTGGTATAATTGGCCCACTCCTCTTTTGAAGCTTAGTTTATAAACATTTTACCCAGAAATTTTCCCCAGTTTATAATTTTTCCACAGGAAGCATCCCACCTGGAAATCTTCCTGGGATTGTAAACATTTCTTTGGGGATGCTGGAACTTGAACTAATAGTCTGTCCCTTACCTTTCTCATGCACTACTGTTTAGATGTGTTTTCAAATGAGACATTGTAGCTGGACACTGGTAGCTCGCGCCAGTAATCCTAGCTACTCAGGGAGTTGAGATGTGAGGATCATGATATGAAGCCAACCCAGGCAGGAATGTCTCTGAGACTTATCGCCAATTAATCAGCATGAAGATGGAGATAAAGTTCTTAGCTTTGATCAAGAATAAAACACCACAAGGATATCATTCAAACACTGATATCAAGCTGCAAGATTTCAAATACATGTGCACAAGACCAGCGCACTCACACACACACACACACACACACACACACACACACACACACACATACACACACACACACAGGCACACAGCAAACATAATCTGGAGAGCAAAGAAAATATCTTATAATATGCAAATTTCTGTGTACCACAGGCCCACAGTTCTCCTAGCAAAGGAACTAGGACCCGTGGTATGAGCCAGGGTTTCCCTCCTATAATCTCATCTGTTTCTGTACTCAAAGATCCTCTGGAACCTTTGAGATTCCATTCCGGAAGTGCCACTCTTGGGCCTGAAACTGATATTCATCGTCCTCATAATCTTCCTGAAGAACCATTTAGAATGGATCGATAATCTAGTGCACTGATTTTTTCATTCTGGTATCAACTGTCTGGTTGCTCTATACATCAGACCTTACAATGCCATTCACAATGTTCTGGGGTGAATCAATATGGGGGCTTTTCCTCATAGCCCAGCTGTGCATCAGTGTCATGGGGAACTCCCTGCTCTCCATGCTCTATCTGCACATGTTTTCATTCCAACATTATCTAAAGAAGCCCATCAATGCCATCTTCATACATCTGACTGTGGTCAACATCCTGAACCTCACCTTCACACTTGTGCCAAATAATGTGGCATCCTTTGGAGTCCAATGTTTTCTGGACAATGTGGGCTGCAAAGCAGTGGTGTACCTCTTCAGAGTCACCCAGGGACTGTCCATCTGTACCACCTCACTCCTCAGTGCGTTTCACACCACCACCATCAGCTCCAACCTTGCTCAGTACGTGTGGCTTAAATCTAAGTCTTCAGTGTGGATTTTCCCTTCTTTCTTGTTCTTCTGGGTTGTCAATATGCTCATCTATGTCCCAGTCATTAAGGATATGAAAGCCAAAATCAATTTCACTCTTGTTGGTTCTGAGTTTTCCAATGTATATTGTCATACTCCACTGCTTGAAGACAATAGATCAGGGTATTATATCTCTATCTTATTATTTAGAGATTTTGTGTTTGTAATCCTCATGATCATCACCAGCCTCTACATGGTGAGGCTTCTATACCAACACCACGAGATAGCTCAGCACCTACATAGTTTTAGGCTTGCTATCCAGCCAGCACCCAAGAGCAAGGCCACCCACACCATCCTGCTGTTCGTCAGTTGTTTCATGTGTTTCTATTGCTTCAACATCACCAACTTCTATTACTTTTACACAGCAGTGAAAATCCCTACCCTGGAGGTGATGGTTTGTATTCTATCAGCATGCTACCCAACCGTGTCCCCTTTTTTCTTCATGAAGAATAATAAAATGCTTTCCCCATGTGCCCTGTCTCTTCCATGGAGAACTATCAGTTGTCACCAAGCATTCAGTGGCTGATTGGACAGCTGAAATTTTTGTTCAAAAGCAGAGGAAATTCTAGTAATGTACATGGAAGCAACTATGTGGGTATTGAGCACTTGAAGTGCTGTTCAAATTTAGATATGCTGTAACTTTCAAACACTGAGGTACCTTTCAAACCACTGAGGTACTAAGGTGTGTGTCTTGGTGGGGGGATGTTACAAAAAGTTTTGTCTTATTTAGTTGCTTAAAATACTATTGGTGGGATAAAATGAATACATTTTCTGTACACTATTAAAAGTAAAAAGGTATTTCTACCTGCATAAAATCAGCTGCTACACTGTCCATTTCTTCCTTACATTCTAATTCTACTAACAGTGCTGTTTGTTACAAGGAATTTTATTAGATCATCCTATGAATGTTGGTCATACAATGACAAAGCAGCATCCAGCCAGTGAGGAAGAGGGATACAGCCAATGACAAACCAGGATGTAGTCTGTGAGAAAGCATAGAGCCATAGCCAGGCATGGGTGACTCATGCCTAAAATCCCAGCTGCTCAGGAATCTCAGCTCTGAGCTCTGAGGACCATCATTCTAAACCACTCTGAGTAGGAAAGTCAATGAGACTCTTAGCTCAATTACTCACAGAAAAAACTCTCAGTGGTTCTGTGGTAGAATGTTAGTGTTGAAGAAAATTCAATTTCATGAAGGATCTTTTTCTATCCTTGCACACCTAAGTTGGATTTTTCTTTGCCTGCAAATGAGTTTCTGGGAGACAACAAATGGTTGAGTTTGGTTCCCCGTTCTCCGCTTTTCTTTTTCCTGCTTACTGCTTATGTGGTGCTGAGGAATCAAACCCAGGGCCTCATGCATGCAAGGCAAGTACTGAGCCACCTTCCCAGCCCTTGAGTCTTGTTTTTTGGTCCATCTGTGGCTCTATATCCTTTGGTTGAGCAATTGAGCCCATCAATACTTGTTACTCTGGGTCCAGGGCTCTGAGAATCAAAGTTCAATAACCAACTGCATCCTGAAGTTTACTTTTCGATGAGTTTGACTTGGAAAAAAAACACGTCTTCAAATGACAAATGTGTTCTTCTAATTAATAAATTAGTGTTTGTTCCTTGACCCCAGGGAGAGTGGTTTGCTCCTGTGGGAAGATTTGATGGATGCCCAGTAAACAATGCCAGCCAGGCAGCAGATGATGCTGATTGATGTCCAGATATCAATGATGAGAAGCCTCCTTATCCCAATCCTTCTCGATAGTGGAGCCTGTCCAGACTCAGCCTTTCCAGGAAGCCAGAATGCCTCAAGGAAGCTGGGCCTTGTGAGCCAGCTCTCAGCCCTGAGGAGACCACAAGGTAGGAAGAGGTCAGAAAACTTTTCACGATCCCATTTCCCCTGGCTATTGTCTGCTATAGGTGTTGTGATTTGAAATGAAGTTACACAACTGCTTTCATCTGGGAACATAGAAACCTAACTGGGACTGACTCTCTGCAGTGACCTGGAAAGCCCTAAAAATATTTTACTCATATCTTAGAGAGTGATCTACAGATGTCATTTGTTTGTTTGTTGGTTTATGTTGGTCCTGGGTCTTGAAGTCCGGCCCTGGGCACTGTCCCCGTGCTGTCATGCTCAAATCTTGGACTCTACAACATGAGCCCCAGTTCTACTTCCAGCTTATGTTATAGTTTATTGGAAATAAGAGTCTCACAGTCTTCACTACCAAGTTGGGCTTCCAACCTTGATCCCGAGATCTAACCCTCCTGAATAACTAGGATCACAGGTGTGAACCTTCCACACCCAGCTGCATTTCTGATGTCTTTCTTATATCTTATAGATTCTGTGAATGACAGAAATTAGTATTTCATTCTTCCCTATTTATATTATTTGAATTATATAATTTGAATTGTTATTTTATATATATAGTCAGTCATGGGGCTTGAACTCTGGGCCTGGGCACTGTCCCTCAGCTCTTCAGCTCAAGGCAAGCAATCTACCACATGAGCCACAGGACACTTCTGGTTTTCTGAGTGGTTTATTTGAGATAAAAATCTTACAGATTTTCATGACCCGGCTGGCTTTGAACCTCACTCCTCAGATCTCTGCCTCCTGAGTAGGGTTACAGGTGTGAGCCACTGGTGTCAGGCTTCATTATTATTTTTTATTGTCATTATATATATAATGTACAGGCGGGTTATCATCTCACGACTCAGGTAATCAGTATATTTCTTTTTTGACAATGTTATCCCTTCCCTCCAAGTTTATTCATCCCATTACCACCCACAAATTTCATAGTCCACAGGTCTACTGAGTACCACTGTTACATTTGTTCACATTTTAATTTTCATAATGGACAATCAAACTGTCCAAACAGAAAGTCATTGTACTCATCCAACCTCAATGGAAAATTTTCAATACTAACCTGATGTTCTTACCTGGAGACCTGATATGTCTGGACATCATAGAGATTTTTTTTATCATGGCAACGATAACCTTACCATTTCTGTATGATAAAAATGTTCATCACTTACGCCTACTGAATCTATCGCATGGTCGATTTTCTGGAACTGTTGAGGGGCTCTGGCATTTTCCTCACTATTTTTCTTATCATCACTATAATGGGAAATGGGTGATGTTATCCCTAGTTTTAATCTTTATTAATTCCTCACAGTATTGATTTAATTAAATTAGGTTCTTTATAAAACATTGCAGAAGTCATAATGGTTAAATAACAATTTACCAAATTGTAGTTAGCTAGTGCAGCTTGCTGAGCATGTTTTATAAAGAAAAGCAAATGCCAAAACCCTGTTAAAACTTATTGCAAGCAGCGTGCTGGTGGCTCACGCAGATAATCCTAGCTATTGAGGAGGCTGAGATCTGTGGATCATGGTTCAAAGCCAGCCCAGCAGAAAAATCCATGAGACTCTTATCTCCAAATAATCACCAGAAAACCAGAAGTGGTGCTGTGGCTCAAGCGGTAAAGTGCTCACCTTGAGCTGAAGAGTGCAAGGACAGCACCCAAGCCCAGAGTCAAGCCCCAGGACCGACCAAAAAAAAAGTTATTTTATTGCAGCCTAGGAGATAAGAGATTTGTTTCTCAGACACTTGAATCAAGCAAATAAAAACTGGTAGTTTCCCTCCCTCAGTAGAAATAGTCTGCTAAATAAAAACTTATGCAGTCTGTACACTGAGATTCCATAATTTGTCCTGTGATAACAGAGAGGTTTACCTTCTTCAGCTTCAGAGGTTGTTTTGGTCATTAAAAATTTAAATATCAAACCAGTACTTTTCAGCCACAGTATCTTCACTCTGAGATAATCTTCTTCACAATGTACTTAATATCCTCACGCTCAATTCTTAGACAACGCAATTTGAATACTAGATGCACACCACATGCCCTGGCTGCAAACTGCTTTTCTTGACAAGTATGAAGTGGTTCCTGGAGGTATGGTTAAGGCTGTATGACTGAATCATGCAGGTAAATATCACACAATTTTTTTTTTTATCACGTTGCAACCATTGTTTCCAATTTAGTGACTGCTGCTATGGGATTAGACAGCAACAATGACAACATTATTAGGTTTGTTTTGTTTTTAAACTATGATTTAGTAGCAACTTAAGTTCCCAATTTTAACCCCTGGGCAGTAAGATCCAAGTTTCCTTATTGGCACATTAGCACCTAACAGTCAAGGGGTTAAATAACCAGTACCAAAGATAAGGCAATTCGGATTGTCGAATTTGGCATAAGTGAAAGGAAAAGAAGTTGTGCTACATGTTGAAGGGATTCTGGGCAACAGAAAGAAGACACTAGGAGAGAGAAACTGTCACATGGAATTTCACCATAGGAACTATTGCACTTTGAAACATTACTAGGGTGCTATAAATTTTGTTTCTATTGCAAGAGCTTGAACTCAGGACTTGTTCCTTAGCTTTACCTTGTAATCGAGATTAGATGTGTTTTAAAAATGAGAGGCTCCATCTAGGCACTAGAGGCTCACGCCTGTAATCCTAGCTACTCAGGAGGCTGAGATCTGAGGGTCGTGGTTCAAAACCAGCCCAGGCAGGAAGGTCCGTGAGACTCTTATTTCAAATTAACCACCACAAAAACCAGAAGTACTGCTGTCGCTCAAGTGGTAGATCACTCACCTTGAGCTGAGGAGCTGAGGGACAGTGCCCAATCCCAGACTTCACATCCCATGACTGAAAAAAAAAAAAGGAAGTTGAGATTTGAAGATCAGGATTCAAAGCCAGCCCATTCAGAAGAGTCTGTGAGACTTATCGCCAAAGAACCAGCATAAAGATGGAAATACAGCTATTAGTACTGAACAATACAAAAAAAAGTTCAGGGATAACACTTAGGCCCTGAGATCAAGCCCCAGAATTTCACACACACACACACACACACACACACACACACACACACACACACACACACACACACACACACAGAGGCACACACACCAATCTGAAGAACAAAGACATGCAAATTTGTCACGCAAGCCCACAGTTCCTCCTCGCTGAGGAACTAGGAAGTATATCATGAACAACACGTTGCCATAATCACAGCCATTACTGTCCCTTAAGATCCTGAGGAAGTCTTGGGATCCTGTTCCAGTAGGGCCACCCGTGGGCCGGAAAGAGAATTTCATCTTCTGTATATTCTACCTGAAGCTCAATTTGGAATGGATCCATAACCAGTGCACTGATTTTTCTCTCCTTTATCAACTGTCTGGCTGCTCTATAGATCAAAACATCACAAAAACAATCAGTGATGCTCTTGGATGAATCAATATGAGGCTTTTCCTCATAGCCCAGCTGTACATCGGTGTCATTGGGAATTCCCTGCCCTCCATGCTCTATCTGTACATGTTTTTATTCCAATGTCACCTAAAGAAGCCCAGCAATGCCATCTTCATGCATCTGACTATAATTAACTTGCCAAATACCATGTTCACAATGGTGCCAGATATCATGGTGTCCTTCAGTGTCTAACACTTTCTGGATGATGTGGGCTGCAAGGCGGTGGTGTACCTTCAGAGTCATCTGGGTGCTTTCCATCTGTACCACCTCGCTCCTCAGTGCATTTCAAGCCAACACCATTAGCTCCAGCCATGCCCAGTGCGTGTCGCTTAATTCTAAATCTTCAGTATGGATTTCCCTTTCTTTTCTCTTCTTCTGGGTTGCCAATATGCTCATGTAGGTCCCGTTCATTAAGGCTCTGAAAGGCCAAAGTCATTTTTACTGTTGTTGGTTCTGGGTTTTCCAATGCATACTGTCATACTCGACAGAGAGAAGAAAATAGATCACAGTATCTTCTTATTCTGAGAAGTTATGTTTGTAATCTTCATGCTCACCACCCGCCTCCACATGTTGACACCCCTCTCCCGACACCCCAAGAGAGCTATGCACCATTAAAGTCCCAGCATCGCTACCTAGCCATCACCAAGCCATCACTACCTAGCCTAGCCAAAATCAGCCACATCACCCTGCTGTTCGTCAGCTGCTTCACGTGTTTCTGTTTCTCCAACAACATCGTGAATGTTTTTCCTTTTAGACAGTAGAGAAAATGCCAACGTTGGGCATAATCATTTGTATTTTATAATGCTGCCCAATCGTGTCCCCTTGTTTCCTCATGAAGTATAATAAAATTCTTTCCAATGTATCACTTCCCTCTCATTGATGACAATTACCAGTTGTCAGAAAGCATTCAGTGGCTGATTAGACAGCCAAAATCTTTGTTCAAAAGCAGAGAAGATTCTAGTATTGTACATGGGAAAAACCTGTGTGGGTATTGAGCACTTGAAGGGTAGTTTGAATGCAGATATGACAGATTTTGTTTTTGTTTTTGTTTTTGCCAATCCTGGGGCTTGAACTCAGGGCCTGGGAACTTTCCCTTTTGCTCAAGGTTACCACTCTACCACTTGAGCCATAGCACCACTTCTAGCTTTTTCTCTTTATGTGGTAGTGAGGAATCAAACCCAAGGCTTCATGCATGCTAGGCAAGCACTCTACCAACAAGCCACATTCCCAGCAATATGCCGGAATTTTAATACATTGAAGCTTTGAAGACTTACTTGATGTACCTTTCTGTGTGTGTGTGTGTGCACAGAAGTTTTATATTGTTTGTTTAAAATATTATTAGTGGTTGAAACACATTTTCTGTACATTGCTAAAATTCATGATTTGTTTTTGTTTTTATAAAGACAGCTGCT